GCCTTAGAGATGCGATGTGCCTCATAGCCCCAAATAAAAGAAAAAATGATAGAATCTAGGTTTCTAAAGAAAGATTTTGTCAGATATATTGGTAAATTGTGAAACAAATATAAAAACCTTGGAAGGGCCACCATTTTTATAGCATTAACACGGCCAATTAGGAACAATGGCAAGACCCTCCATTTTTCAATGGTAGATTTCAGGCTCTTTATTGCAGCCATAAAATTAAGCTTAAATATGTCTTGGATCTGGGGGAATAACCAAACCTAAATAAGTAAAATGATCATGAACAATTTTAAAAGGGATGGACTCTAAAAAAATATTAGGAAAATTACTGCCAAGAGGGATGAAGATGCTTTTCTTACAGTTAATTGAATACCCGGAAAAAGAACCAAAATGGTTTATCAAATCCATTAGGGGGGGTAAAGAATCAACAGCATCTTTTAAGAATAATAGCAAATCATCTGCATATAGGGAGAGTCTGGTCTCTACAGACCCGATTGTAATGCCCCTAATTGAAGAATGGGGCCGAATACTTATAGCCAGAGGCTCCAGAGCCAGATTAAATAATAAGGGACTAAGGCAACACCCCTGCCTTGTCCCACGATAAAGAGGAACATAGTCCGATTTATCCAGATTGGTAAGTATTGCAGTTAAAATTGTTTTGAAGTCATAACATGATATTCTTCAAGTAATTTCTTTTGGAAACTGCAGTGATATGTACTTATTGGTACGTATTTTGCGTCTCGTGAAAAAGTGTCCCCGGGTACGTTTTTGCCATGAGACCAGGTTGTTATATTTTTATGATTATTTGCGAATCGCCTTTTTTCTTCCATGGAAGAGAGGGGTGGGCTGGGGTGAGCAGAGCTCATTAGCATTTAAAGATATGCACCGAAACAGGTGGCTGTGAACAGAGCTGTTTTTGACGAGGTAAAATGGGTGTTGTTTTACACGACCATTGAGGAATTTTAACCAAAGTATGTTGCAGACATTTCCAAAGGCCCTAGAGAATCATAACATCTTGTGGAAAATGGGCATCTGATGTCCCCTTTAAAATAAAAAACAGAAAACAGTCATTTCAAACTGTAAAAATATTTCACAATATTACTGTATTTACACTGGCTGTTGACATTGTAGACATTTACACTGGCTGTCTCAGAAAGAAAGCCAGTTGTATCACAGTGGACCCCACTCAACCTGGACATCACCCGTTTCCCCTTCTGCCCTCTGGGAAGAGATACAGAACAATCAAAACGAGGACTAACAGATTAAAGAACAGTTTCTTCCCGCAGGCAGTCAAATGCATAAATCCTCATCCTTCTCTCCTTCTGCTCCCAAGCATTATCGAACAATAAACCAATGTCTCAGGTCTACAAGCGCAATAGAACACACCACACTGCATATTATCTGTAAATACCTCTCATATGTTAAAACATATACTGTTACACTTATGTTTATTATTCATACATCCTGATATACATTCCTATAGTATACACCAATACTATGTATACTGTATTCTTGTTGTTTTTGTTTAATTAGCTCCAGTTTGCACTACAGTATCTTGCACTAACCATTGTATACTGTATATTACCTTCTGGAATACCTCTCTTCTTGTCTATTTTATTTTTATTTGTATCTATTTATGTTTGTCTATTATGCCAACCTTGTGAGCTGCTAAAGAGTCTTTCATTGTTCAAAACAATGACAATAAAAATATATTCTATTCTATTTTTAATCAAATAAATGCAGCCTTGGTGAACATAACATATGAGGTTTACATTAAAAAAACCGTACCTTCCCAGTATATACAGTGGAGATCAACATTTGAGAACAATCTATAAATACTTGATTTTTTCTGAAATTGTTAATCTTCATCGATCAAATTTTGAAGGAATATTAGGTATACCACTGTTATATTAACATGTTTGACAAAATAACCAAGGCATTTCAACAAAAATCTTTATCTTGTGGAAAACACAGTGATCAAAATTAGAGAACAGTAACCACTGTAGCACGAAAGAAGATTACAACTAAAATTCTGGAAGGTTACAGCTATTAAAAATTAGTAGTAAGTGTAGAGGCCTTTGATTTGAGTGACTTCAGCACATCTGCGGCTGCAGGACATCACTAGTTTCTCACACTGCGCTGGTGTGATCTCGGTCCACGCTTCTTCCACTCTCTTCCATAGTTTGGTGACTGTAGTGGGTTTCTTAACCATAACTTTGTTGCCAAGGACTTTCCTGAGATTTTTAGTTGGGCTGACATTTGAGAATCTTTGACACCCACGGTCCAGCTCAGGTCAAGTGTTCGCAAACCCAGACAGCTCTGTGAACTTAACGCTGACACACATAATGAGGAACAACCTGACATTATTAGACCTTTCAAACCTGTGAGGGGGGAAAAAATAAAAAGAGAGAGTATTTTAGTTTTTGGGTGAACAGTCACTTTAAGGTACAGTCACCTTCACGGTTCTGTGGTCCATTTTCTCTTGTGAAATCCAGTAATTTTGATAGAATTTCACACAGGTGGTAATTTATTGTGAGGGTAAAAGTTTCCCCCAAGCAGATCATGTTGACCAACAGAAATCTGTTTGTTTAGAAAGTGACTTCTGTGTGAACCGACATTTCGCGAATGTGTCACTCCACTTCATGTCACAATATAGAGGTCTTTTTTTTTGCTCTTCACTATATTACTGGAGTGTTTCTAAGCTAAAAAGCTGTGTCTGTGCTCCTCTTCACCAGGGAGCAGTAAATACGGTCAGATACAGTATTTTGCAGGTATCTGAAGTTCGAGTTAGTGTCCCCTGCAGGGCAATGCTGAGTGGGGCAGGAGTGCCTGTAGAATCATAGTGGCGGGTGACATGGTGATAGACAAAAGGGGGATGGGGAAGTTAGTCTCTCTAATCTACACCATATGTGTAGATCTAAGTGTATTAGTTTACAAAGCACACTAAATGACATTCAGTAAGGCAAAAAAATTCATAGAGCTGAAATTACATGGTCCTTGTTGTTGTCTTGATTTAAACATCTCATGACAAACTCTGGTTTCCACCATGCAGAAATGAAATATATACTATGAAGCTGATCAATGAAGAATCAGTCACCAGTCATGAGGATTTTGAAGACTTTACTGAATTTTCGAGGTGTGTATGTAACTTACTCTTGATGAAGAGTTTAATTCTTCCCATTTGATGCAGGGTGGAGTTTCAGAACAAATTCTACAGCGGCTCTGAATCCGTGTATCATTCGATCATTCGATCTTTGATTTCATATTGAAAGTAGAAAAATTTGAAAATGGCTCCCTTTTCATTTTTTCCCCAAAAAACGAGAAACGAGAATTCAGCTTAAATGTTCGTTTTTCATTCATGGGTGGAAAAATTAATAAACAGCTTGAATATTCGATTTCTACACGTGGGCGGGAATTAAACGCCCCTTTCTGCTGATTGGTCAGCCGAAGATCAAACAGTGCCGTCATCAGTTCTTCTGCAGTATCACGCAACAGAATAATAGTCCTCCACTGCTGCAGTTGTACGGATTAATAACCCATTTTATCAATTTCATATTTTTCTGGATACAAGCTCAACCCTTTTTCCTTTGCATCAATTTAGCATCTAAAGTAAATGTAAATATTTCCTGTAAAAATGGTTTTATACTTCATTTTAAAGCTGGATGTGTTAACCTCTGGTAGTAAAGGGTGATTCATTAATGGGTTTGTTTACCCTGAAAAAAAAAGTATCATTAACACACGCTTGCGTTGTTCCAAACTTGGTATGACTTGGTTCTATGGAAAACAAAATGAGATGTTTTGAAGAGAAGGTCTTTGCTTCAGAGCCAATGGACGGAGCTTGACAAGGATGAATTACAAAAATGCAGAATACTAATAAAAGCTTTTGGAACTTGAGAATATTTGTATTCTTCATGATCCTTCACAACCCCTTCACATGCAGCAGGTTTTAGCATTTTTTTTGTTTTGTTTTTGTCTAAATGCAAATGAAAACTTTCTAGCCCATGTTAATTATCATTTATAGAATAAGGTCAAACAAATGCACTCCTACCTGAAAGGTGGTATTGAGGAATTAGGAGGCTTGTATACAGGAAAAATAAGAAGCTAATATTTAAATTCTGCACACAGGGGAAAAAAGACGGAAATCACTAAAACTTAAAACTGAGCCATTAAGTACTAGCCATTAATTGACTGATATTGTATGATTATTATAAAAAGGTATATGCAATGCAATGCAATGCATGTTGCTTTGGATTAAAGTATCCGTCAAATGCATAAATATAAATTGGCATCAAAATGGATTGAACAGATTATCTGTTTGAATGGAATGTTAGTATTGTGATCATTAATTTGTTTATATATACATACATATATATAATGCCAGTTATCGATTTAAAATTTAAATTGTATTGAGCTGAATGACATTTTCCAAAACTCATGTTATTGAACAACTGAATCAACACTGAACTGATGTCAGCTAAATAAATGACCTTTTAACATTTTATACAAAATCTTGTATGCTTTAAATGGAGGCAGAGAAATCGGACCTTTTGTACAAAGGAGATCACATGGTCAATGTGACAAATTTGCTTATTTGATTAGTGACCTAGAAATAAAAATGAATTTAACCATGTACTTTTCATACATTTTTCTAAACATGACTATATTTCCAGGAATAGAATATCAGACTCTCAACATGGTTTTAGACTTTTGTGCCCCACTGTAGATCAGCTACCCTGCAGTCTGGCCATTAAAAACCCTCATCAGTTGATCAATATTATTACTATTGTGGCTCTACTTCTATCCTGCAAACCCTTTATCATGCATGATAATCTCTGTATGGAACAGTTAAAATTAGGTATGTGTATAGTCATAAAATGACAATATTCATGAATTCTGTGCTAAAAGGCAACATGTGACAAAACAAGAACATTGTTTGCTTTCCCTTTTTATTTTTCTGCTTTTTCATGAAAAAAGCAAACCGATTTTTTTTTAAAAAGTCCTCAGAAAATAATTGCTATTGTGTTGCTACAAGTTGCATTTAAATTATAGCTTTCCAAGGGTAAATGAACAACTAAGTGTCAACTGTGAGCAACCCTTTCCTAGTTTAGATAGGGTAGGTGAATCGCCTATTTGAGATGACAGCAAGCAAAAGTACAAAACATCAGATGGAAAAAAACAAAGAAAGAGTGACTGGTACGAGAGAGTAAAAACTTAGTGTGGAGTGTTAAATGTCTACAAACATCCAGGCAGCAGAACCTTCAGAAAGGTTGAACGACCAACATTTAAGTTCAGACAAAGTCACAAAGAAAGCATGAGTGAACGATCTGGATCGGTTTGCTGAAGTCTCTATGATTCAGATTCATCCTGTGCTGCCACTACATTCTTTGATCAAGTTGTGGTGGATGAGAAGTATCAGGATGTGCCATGTCTGTCATTTTCTTTCTCCTTGCTTCAACTCGTCTGCACCAACAAATCATCAGAACATCAGTGGCCACACCAGGACTGAATCTCTGATCAAACCATCCCTTCCTCATTCACCAAATCCCATCTGGGCTAGATTATGTAGTATAGGAGTCACTTTGGATTAGGCTGAATGCCCAGAGAAGAAGAAAAAGCCACACGCTGAATGTGTCTGGATCGGTCTCATGGGTTGTGGGAATAAAATCCTACACTTCACTTGAAGACGGCGGTGAAACTATCCTCTCCTGTCAGCCTGTTTTTACCCTTCTACTAGAACAACGGCCATATCCTTCCATCAGTCTCTTTTCTTCAGCCTCATCCTCCCATTCAGGCCAGATGAGCCTGTATTGAGTGGGATGGAGCACTTGTGAGCTCGCCAAGCAGAGCTGTGCGTGTGTTTTTATGTGTGCATGTTATGATATTCTCTGAATGAGTTTGTCCTCGGTCAGACAGAATACGGTGCAGTGGGACAGGTCAGAGATGAAGTTATCACAGCCGCGTCGAGTCACGTTCCTACAGCCCCGCAGATCCAACAGAGCCAGAGCTGATAATCGCTTCATATAGGACAGACAAGCATCTGTCAACTTATTACTACCTACAGAGACAAAGAAAAGATTAATCCACCAACTGGGAGTACCAGACTTTAGCATTACATCACTTGCTTACCAATGCTGTGAATGGGTGTTGTCAGACTTTGTTTCCTCTGGAGGAAGTGTTATTATGGATTATGGACTACTTATAGATTTTGGCCAGAAGCAACCATTTAAAAGTTAAAATGCCTTGATGGATTTGTTTATTACAAAGTACAAACACAGTGTTTCACTTCACAAGCTGTTAACTGACATTGTTTGGATAACTTGTGGATTATTGTGATGTTTTTATCAGCAGTTTGGCTCATTCTGACGGCACCCATTCACTGCAGAGGATCCATTGGTGAGTAAATGATGTAATATCTCTACATTTGTTCTGATGAAGAAACAAACTCATCTACATCTCTGATGCTCTGAGGGTGAGCAAACTGTCGCCAATTTGACATTTTTGGGTGAACTATTCCTAATTTTTGAGTGACACATTTTTACATCGCAACTTGCAGCACACATTTAATTAAAACGAAATTAAGATTTTATGACCTTACATTTGATCTGGAACTGAATTTAAGACATTAAGATTTTGGTCACAATCTAGCTTGAGGAGCAGTTCTTACGATTAATGACAACTTTTGCATCAGTAAACTCCTAATTAGCTGCTTATTAATAGTTAGTAAGGTAGTTGTTAAGTTTAGGTATGGGGTAGGATTAAGGAATTTAAAATATGGTCATGCAGAATAAGGCATTAAAATGTGCTATATAAGTACTAATAAACAGCCAAAATTCTAGTAATATGAATACTAATTAACAACAAGTTAGTGAGAATTGGTCCCTAAACTAAAGTGTTACAAAGACTTTGAGTTTGCAGCACCAGTTGTGATAAAAATGTGGGAATAACATATCATGGGTATTTTCAGAAGATAAAGGGTACCTGAAAGATTAAGCTGTCTGAGTGTGTTGCGAGTGTTGCAGCCAGTAGCGGTGAGCAGGTTGATGGACTGGTCTGTGAGTCCCTGGCAGTGGGACAAATCTAACCGGCGCAGTGAAGGCATATGTCTAACGATCATCTTCAAGGTGGAGTCGCTCACATCCAAACCAGCCAAGCTCAGAGTGAGCAAACCTCTCAGCCGACTGCGACTTTCACTGCCTGTTTGACGTGAAGGTAGAGGTGAAAAAGAGAGTGAATTTCTGCTCACACTGAACACATACTCCCATTAATAATGATTATGAGTGCCTCACCTGGCTGCACAATGAGGTCTTTTATTTGTGAATCTTTGACACCCACGGTCCAGCTCAGGTCAAGTGTTCGCAAACCCGGACAGCTCTGTGAACTTAACGCTGACACACATAATGAGGAGCAACCTGACATTATTAGATCTTTCAAACCTGTGAGGGGGGAAAAAACCGAAAGAGAGAATATTTTAGTCTCAACTGTGATGCATGCTTTATTTTTAAGCAATTTCATGTAAACATCAAAACATGAGACATTTTCAAAGTTAAAGACTATAAAATGCTGAGAACTGGTACTTGGGAGGTGATGAATGAGCCAGGCAATCTGTTTCTTTGATACTGGTGTCCATGAGAGATCAAGTGTCACAGGTTGTCGTTTTATGACGGCTGACAGAGCCTGAGGACTGAGTGCCCGACATCGACTCAGATCTATCTGTGTCCACAAGCGCTTATCACAACACCTACAGCAGGAGAGAACCAAAACAATTACTCTGAGAGAAGGGGGAAAAAAATCATAAATTAACCAAAATGATCAAGATCATGAACTTTCACAATTATGAATCAAGATAATTCTCCTTTTTAAAATTTTGTACTACTGTGAAAGTCAAGAAACAAGAAAAAAAAAAATACCATCATCCTTTCAGGAAGTTACCTATGCAAATGTGTCTCTTTATATTCTGTTTTTGTCGACCCCCACAACATAGTGTTGTTAACAACATATTATTGAAAAGGGGATATTATAAGAAATAGAAGCACAGACTTTTTGTTCTGAAGGCATAGCTATATCCCAACATACACTTTATCAGGGGTGGCCAACTTCGGTCCTGGAGAGCTACAATCCTGCAGACTTCAGCTCCCACCCTAATCAAACACACCTGAACAAGCTAATCAAGGTCTAAGGGTTACTAAAAAGCAGCAGGCAGGTGAGTGTTTTTCAAGGTTTGAGCAAAACTCTGCAGGAACGACGTTGGCCACCCCTGCACTATATGGACAAGAGTATTACACTGAAGACACCCGATCATGAGCTGCTTGCGTGTAAATGAACAGAACCACGCTCCTCTCTGAAACCCACAGCACATATATTTATTTAATTACATCGCAGACTTTGAGACTTGATAATAGCACTAAGCCATATCGCAATTCAACTTTTATTAAGCTTAATCATTCATCTCTAGTGTGAAAAGGCCTTTTGTTTGATAAAAACAAACAAATAAACAGAAAGAGGAAATTAAAGGAAGCATCCCAGCTTGTTAAAAAGGATCTGCTGAGGCTTTAACTGTAACTACTACACTTACCACTTGTACCAAGCCTTGCAGACTCTCATACACACAGCCAAATCAGTCCGACCCAAGTAACGGAACACTGACATCCAAATGTCCTTTTCACAGCCACGCTCGTTTCCTACATCACAGAATGAGGGATGAGAGAGGAGGGAAGGAGGAGAAGTGGCGATGGCTGGAGGAGGAGGTGGCGGAGAAACAGAGGAACGAGAAGACATAGAGGACGGTGACGCTGTGTCTCTCTCTCGACCACCCTGGTTGGAGCTCCGCCTTGTGGGGCGGCCGGACGTGTGGACGCTTTTGGATTGAGAGACACCATTTCCGGCTGGTGTTGAGGTGCTGTTCCTGAGACGGGTCCTGGGTAGCGTTTTACGCTGGTTGAAGCCAGGACCCCTAGGTGTTCGGGGAGACATAGCCGCCTCCAGTTTGGGTACAATGGAACCGGGGTCACGTTTGGCCTTTGGAGGACGCTGGAGGGTCACAGTCAGGTAGGAATCATTCAGCAGGTCATCATTCAAGTCTGAGACTAGTAAGACGGGTGGGTCAGGATCAGAGTCTGATTGGTTCCCTCCATCCTCATCATCTTCCTCTCCTCCATCCAAGTCTTCCATCTCATCATCCTCTCCTTCAAAGTCCTGTTCCTCACTGTCTTCCTCATCATCATCCTCGTCGTCTTCATCATCATCATAGTCATCACCTCTCCGCCTACGTCTCCTTGAACGATGCTCCTTATCTGACCGGCCAAGATGTCTCTCTTCATCACTGTCATCCTCATCATCATCTTCCTCATCATCATCGTCATCTTCATCATCGTCATCATCGTCTTCTGTTTCATAGCGCCGTCGCCTCATGTGGGATCCTCCTCTTAACCTAACCCGACCCCCTCTCTCCGCTCTTGCTCCGAGTCCCCTCCTCATTTTCAGCGATCTTGTTGCCAAGCTGCCTCTCCCTCGACTCCCTCGATGCGAGGAGCCTCTCCAAACACCTCGCCTACCAGCTCCATAACCTCGGCGGGATGAAGAGACCCTGCCCCGGACTGATGACATCTTGCAACTATCGTCATCGCTGCCTGAATCATCATCGTGTTCCATCCCATGTCGCCGATAGATCTTAGCCACGCGAGGATCAAGAGATGAAGACTTGCGTTTCTGAAAGAGAGAAAATAAGAAAAAAAGTCACACTAAAGCCACCTTTTCACAATCTTTAAAGAGGACATCGGATGCCTATTTTCCACAAATAGGTATGATTCTTTAGGGTCTTCATGAAATGTCTAACATTCTTTGGTTAAAATTCTTCAATGGTTGTGTAAAACAACACCCTTTTTACCTTGTCAAAAACAGCTCTGCATGTCTCTTTAAATGATAATGAGCTACTGCTCACCCCACCCCTCTCTTCTGTGGGGCGTGTCGACACAAGACATGTGAATTGCTGCCTTGGACTCCGTATATGGCTCGGAGGTGGTCTTATTCAAATAGCTAGCTATCTACACAGAACCTGGCTGGAAATTGAAACAGCACACTGGATGACACGGTTTCAGACTCAGACAGCCAATAATAAACCGGCTGCGTGTTTCCTTTCTGCGACATGCCAGAAACCTAACTAAATGTAAAAAAAGAAAATTAGTCCCCTTTAAACAAATGACAGAACAAAAATAAATATTTCCAATTTAAAGAAATATGAGAGCTGAGTGAAGCTCTAATTATATGCGTATGCAGAATTTTCAAATCCGATTTGAGCTTTGGTTGTTGAAATATCTGAACATTTGCAGCTAGAACATATGCCCAACACTGCTTGGTATGTATTCTATATTCATTTTCTATTTTACTTCTTTATTCACACTTCTTTATAGTTTATAAACTTGAACCTAATCAAAATTATGAGCATAAGGTCAGAAAAAAAAACCTAGCTACGTGTACTGTGCTAGACTAACTGAGACTTGTCATGGCACTTGTATACTGTTGTTCTCACGTTGGTCTAATTGCTTCTATTCTCATTTGTAAGTCGCTTTGGATAAAAGTGTCTGCTAAATGATTAAATGTAAGGTGAGAATTACCAATATTTTTGCACAAACATTAATCTTTAAACACCTTCTAAACAATGGGTAGTTATAAAATAACTAGGGATGCACCGATACCACTTTTTCCAGTACTTGCCTGATACTGATACTTTTATTTTTGGTACTTGCCGATACCAATATTTTTATTGCATTTGTACATTTTTTAAATATTGGGTACAGAAACCAAAAGGGTATGTATAATGTTAGTTGGTTAACTTCATTTATCAAATAGATAGTCAAACCAAAAATGTATTCAGACACCTTCAACATTTCTCACATTATCACAGTTTATTTGTTATAGTTTAGAAAATGGTAATAAACTATAAAAAGAACTCAGAGTTACACTGTGTCAGAACAAATTAATCTTGATAATGCTAGATAATTTTGATAGAAAGGTATGTAATAGATTACAATCAACCAAAATAATTTAGACAGCTGTTAGTATGACAGTATTTACACAACTATGAATACTTAGTCGGGCAGCCCTTAGCCTCAATGACAGCCTGTAGTCTCCTGGGCATGCTGTACTCCAGCTTCATGCAAACCTCAACTTCAGTTTTTTTCCCAGACTCAGTCTGAATCATTTTTGGACCCAAATTTGTATCAATTTTACTGGTAGTCCACTGTATGAAGAATTTTTGGGTATGATTTGTCACAGTTTACTTTATTTTGCTATCCTCACTTACATAAATGAACTATAGTGTCCTGCACCCACTAGTAAAAAAAATATAAAAAATTATATCTGGTCTCGGAATCATTTTTTGTTTCACTGTATATCCTTGTTATTTTCACACTTAATTATGCCCATTAAATGTATTTTACAAGTTTTTGTTACTTTCACTGTTCATTAATACACGCGCACGTATTTGTACTGATGCAGAATAGTACAGCCTAGCGCATTTCACACAAGCTGCTAGATTCACTTTCGCTAGAAAGTTGTGTATGCCTAAGGTTAAAAATATATTTTTTATTGTGAATGCCCCTATGAATGTTTTATTTTTACGATTTAGTTTTAATCCAAATGATGCATGTGCTAAGTGAGTGAACATCAAAGATCACACAACAGAAGTGCACGCTCTCTCTCTACCGTTAAGTAACTTGTGCATTGTTTTACTTGTTTTTGACATATCCGACCGAACTACAAACTTTCCAGTGATGTCTGTGAGAAAGATATATTCACTCGACAAGCTCGCGCATCTGTGCCGCCACGCTCTCAATCCACTCAGCATACTTTGTTAATCAGCTCGCGCACATCAGCTATACAGGCGTTAATACTGAATGTTTAACATTATATTCATTGCATACATATACTTCGTAGTAGACATCCTTAACTCCTTTCTGCTGTCTGTTGTTCTGTTGTCGGTGTTTCTTTGTCTGAATATGGTGCTTATCACATGCTGTGTGGTATCGGCGTTTGGTATCGGGGCATTTTAACGAGTACGAGTACAGGAGACCAGTATCGGGCCCGATACCGATACGTGCATCCCTAAAAATAACCAAACACAAACCAGATATTTCAGACATAATTCATAATTACATAATTATTTGCGTTAATTAGCCCGAGAAAATCTACTTTGTTTTTCTTTTCAGAAGTATTGGTGGTTATTTAATTTTTATGGATATAGTCAAACATTCAGTATTCATTCATTTTACCATGGTGAATCAATAGACCGGATTCACGACCAATATGAAAAGTTCTGTGTGACTGCCACTAGGGGGTTGTCAAAAGACAGTGAAAAGGCATCTAAACGGACCAGTTTCCAAAAAAACTTTATAATAAAGAATCAAAAAATAAAAAAACATCCAGAAACGGGGCCTAAAACCTTGCTAAACAACAAATAATGTTTTAATAATCTTAAAATATTTATCACAGCAAAAGCCTGCTGTGGAAATGTATCCACTTGCTGTCACAAACAACTAGTCAGAACAAAATTATAAATTTTGCTTTTTTATAACAAATTTAGAAAATCATTCAAGCACTGATAAACACAGTCTTCAAAAAAAAAAAAAAACACTTACATGTGTTTTACCACCTTCCAATTGTAGCTGCAAAACAAAATAACATACTGTGGTTAATATGAACTTCAAAAGAATGAACAGTGATGAAAACATCAGGATCACTGAAAGGAATCACACTAGCTGCAAACACAAAGCTGATTCTGAAACCCTCAGTCAGTCAAAGCAGTGGGGCAAGATGATGATGAACAGAGCAGGGTGGGCCAAAAAGAGAGCAAGAGAAGACAAGCGTAGAAAAAAAAGATTGAACAAAACGGGGGGGATTTACTGCAAAAGGTAGAGAAGGGAATACATAATAAAGGCAGAGTAGAGCGGCTATGCAAGCAGCAGCAGTAGTGTGAGGAAGGCGGAGCCTCTCACCCGCTTCCTGAGCCGCTGCTCAGGGGCTGCGGCCCGTTTCTGGAGCGACCCGTGAGAGAGAGAAGAGGGGGGCCGCCCGACCCCGTGCCATGCCCCGCCCTCGCCCCCTCGCCCCCCTGACCCATCCTGTGCCGTGATGTCATCACCGCTGCCTGACGACTGGCAAACAGGAAAACAAGCGTTACTGTTACACACGCAGATCGGAGTGTGTACATCACAGTAAGCTCTTGGCATGCATCTTTCTACATGGTGTGAATGAGTGTGTATGAATGCAGGCCTGCAAAAGCTAGTAGCATTAGAACACTCAAAGCTTCCTTCATTTCAAAGGCCTGAAGGTGTGTTCAAACAATAGGCGGAGAAACCCTCTTTAAAATCGTGGGCGTGTGGGTCAATGTGCTTGTAAAAATGTGTTTTACCTCAGAATCTGTCTCTTTGCCCATAATACATTTAGGACACTCCCAGCAGCTCGGTAGGTCTTTGTTTACCACTCCCTCACCAGATGTCTACACAGACAGGACATAAGATCATTACAACAGTAAAACTGTTTACTGTACAGGAGAAAACACTAAGATTGGCACTGTACTCATATCAATTAGAACAAATAAAGCGGTCCATCTCACAAAGCATAGCAAATGACAATGAAATGAGCAATGACATAAAATAAAACAAAAATATTAAGTCTTTTATTTTAAGTACACTAAGAGTATACATTACCATTCAAAAGTTGTTTTTAAAAAGAAATTAAAACTGTTATTCAGCAAGGATGCATTAAATTGTAAATAATGTTACAACATCTTATTTAAAATAAATGCCATTCTTTTGAACTTTCCATTTATCAAAGTTTCAGTTTCCCACAAAAAAAATATGAAGCAGCACAACTGTTTTTAACATTGAAAATAGTAAGAAATGTTTCTTGAGCACTTAAAAAAAAGCATATTAGAATGATTTCTGAAGGATCATGTGACACTAAAGATTAGAGTAACATCTGTCATGACAGAAATAAATTACATTTGAAAATATTTAAGTATCCGATCTGGAAAGCCAATTACAAACAACCTATTTAAAGAAACTAATTCCGTGATCTTACCCTCTTTGGCCATCTGACAATGGGTTTTCCAGTGTAAGAGAGTTCAGGGATGTCATCAGCATGTTCTTTCAATAATGCCTGAAAGAGAGAGAAAACAAAAACACTTTCAGTACAGTTCAAAATGACCGAATAGATTCTTAAGCAACAACACCTAACATTAACCACTAACATCCTGCATCTCAAGTCACATTTCTTATTTTTAAAAAAAATCAAAAATATCACACCAGCAAGTACATCAAAATAACCATTTCCAAAAAACAGAAGTGTGAAACACAATGGGCAAGTGTTCTGACCCGTATGTCATGTAGCAGGGCAGCAGCATTGTGTATTCCTGAAGGCACGCACTTCTTATGTGACGGCAGCGACTCCAAGTTCTCCACCAGGTGCCACAGCCCCTTCAGCTCAAAAGGAGTCAAGTGTAGCTTCACCCCTGGTGCATTAGGTGGAGATGGAGCATCGTTATCATCCCTTTCCTCTTCAGCATGGCCATTTAGTTCCTCACAACCTGAGTCTTCCCGCCTCAAGTCTGTGTATTGGATTTAGAAAACGAGAAAACAGACTTAAGCTTACCTGTGCTCAACACAATCAAATCTGTTAGAAAGTGAGTGTGTTAATGTACTGACCAATTCCCAGAGAGTGTTTCTGAAACTCAGGGATGAGGTGGGAGGTGTTGGTCACGCTGTACAGATAACGCTCCAACACATACCAGCACATCTCATGAAAGAATGGATACCGGAACTTAGCTGGCACCTGAGGAGCAACCAGAGACTGATTTTTTTTATCCCCCGTTATTATTATCATGAAAATTATACACCCCTCGCCTACCAAATTCCCAATAATTATGTGAAAAAGAAAACTCATTCTCATTACTGTAAAGCAGTAAAAAAAATTATCCAGACCAGATAAAGGTTTTCTTGCTTTCTTTTTATATGAAACGGTACAAGAAATACTACCATGATTATTGGATTGCGGTAATTAATGATACATCTTTTCCTCCTCATTGTGATGAAAACTGAGAAGTGTGCTTAATTTGCAAAACGGTACAGTCCAAATGTTGTGGTAAAAAAAAATATATATTGATTTCGTTGAATATTGAATATCTACTTTGTTGAAATATGACCCAGTCATGTTCATGCAGGTTT